TAGAGTATTTAACTTATTGGAAAGAACAATATTTGCCTCAACAAGATTTTTGGCGACCACAGTAGGAGATTTCTAAACTAATCCATTTAATGTTAATTTAGAAGTTTCTCCCATGGCTCCTAAGCGTTCAGCACGTAAAGAAAACACTCTGGAAGATGTTAATTCATCTGAACTCAATCCTGAGACTATATTAGAAGATTACCAAGATCCAGAAAATCAATTGCCAACTGAACACATGGCATACTCTTTTGAACAATTCGAGCCTTATGCTCAAAGGCAAGACGAATTAATTTTAAAGGAGTGGAAGGTCGCTCTTCCACCAGAAGCTTACTCAATACAATCTACACAAAATATGTGGACATTATAAAGAGTCTGATAGAAGATCTAAAAGAAAACAATAAAGAGAAGATTGATAACTACTATCGTGTCATGGTAGAAGAAACTGCCAGAATGGTAATTGTCACAAGCAGTTACCATCTAGGATGCACGGACACTTCTTCCAACAGCCGTGTCCGTGTCGGACACCGTGTCGGACACCGACACTCGTTGGACACACGACTGACACACATAAAAACTGCATCCGGTTTTTTAATATATTTAGACACTTTGAGACGAATCATATCTTACTATGATACGATCCGGTTTGCATTTTGATATGTCACCTCATTTTTTTTAACTTTTTTTAATTAGAAAGTTAAGGTAAAGTATGAGATAAAAAGGTAAGAGTTATAATACGAGCGCCTTCAAAACCTATTTTATAGCACAGTATTGTATGTGAATTTAGGAGAATATTATTAGCTACGGTAAATGACTTGTTTTAAGGTTAATTATTTACTGTTTTGTTGAATAGGTAGTCAAAATCTCTTTTTTGATATAATATTTGTCTTGTTATTTGCCGTACCAGTGTCCCCTATTTTAGGATTGCGGTTTTGCCGTGTCCGTATCGTACCCGTGTCCGTGTCCGTATCGGTGCAACCTAGGTTAACATACAAGTGGATAAGATTATTCTAAATATTAATGATACCCTAAACACTACTAACTTGGCTTTATCAAAAAGTTTTGCAATCAAAGTAGTTACAAGGCTTGAACCTTTAGTGGAAAGGTATAACCACCAACTCAATGAGGAGTTGATGAATATTCTAACCGCTTTAGGTAGTGGGATTATTGAAGTAAATTAAAGGGAGAATATCCCTCTAAGATACCCTAGGGTAGAAAATATGACTAGATCTCATGCAAATCCGCCCCCCTGTCAGTTCTAAGAAGTATTCCTCCTATTGGTTCTGATGAGGGGTATCGGGGTCAAGGGAGAGTTATTGGTTTAGGACCAGGTTATGAGTCAAGCTATAACCATAATGGCTAGAATAAATCTTCTTCGTCTTTGCCCCCACCTATTACCACACACTCATTCACCTCTTCAATGGGTAACATGCCTCCTTTGGGACTAGAGATTGGTTTTAGTTCTGCCAACTATGGTATTGGAAACTTACCAGATACAGCATGCCATACACAAGCTGCTGCATCTGCACAGAGGATTCACGCTCAAATTATTGGTATGAATGGTCACCAATCCCCCACACAACCTAAGAATTATAACCAACAACCATATGGGTATCTAAACTCTGGCCACCCTACACAAGGTTCCTTATGGAATCAGGGTCAAGCTAGTGGTATATATGGTGAAAAACATCCAGCGATGCCCCAACCCAATCCTAATACCTTAGAAGGGACAAGTGTTGGATATAGGAGTTTCCATAATCCTCAAAGAAATCAACGTAATCCTTTTCATATGCAAGATACACCTTTTTAGCCTAATGATAACTGGGTATTTGATATAATTTTAGGGTGTTGTTAAACCTAGTTTACTTGAAAAATTTGTGTTTTGGTTCACTTTTACTCTATTATTATGCAATTTTTGTGTATCCTATGCTTCACGGGTTGTTAGTGTTTTTTGTTGAGATTCTAGGTCTAAAGACGACCAAATGAAGCCTATGGATTTTAAACCGAGGTTAGAAGCAAGAAGATGGTAGAAAGAAGCCAAGGAAATGAGCAATAAAGAAGAAAATATGGAGAAAAGGGCTTAGAAGACCCTACACGGTCGTGCCAGACCTTACACGTCCGTGCAGGAGTGCTTTAGAAAGTCACAACCTTTTGCCAAGGCCTGCACGTCCGTGCTTAAGTTGGCACTACCGTGCAGAAGAGGCTGCACGTCCGTGCCATAACTGGCATGCCCGTGCAGGATTTCAAGCCCAAGCAGTAGCTTCTACCATGCCCTGCACGGCCAAGCGTAAGGGAGCACGTCCGTGCAGCTTGGTCTGCACGTCCGTCCCAAACCTGGCAGGTCCATGTAGACCTACAGTAAAGCCTGATTTTTGTTTTCTCCGTCCTTTTTATTTAGGGGTCTTATAAATACCCCCTTTGAGCTCATTTGTACGGGAAGCAAGATTTTTAGAGCTTTCTCATAGTTTTGCAATCCTAGAACATTAAATTCTCAAATCATTAGTTAGATTCTAATTATTAGCTTGGAAATATTTAACTTCAATCATTGTAGAAGACAATAAGTTCCACCATTGTTGCTCACTTTGAAGCTTCATAGTAACTATTTCTTACTCTTCCCTTCCATTACTCTCTACTTTGTTGTTAATTACTTGCTTAATTCTTGCATACTTAAATTGTTAATTAGCTTAATCCTTAGTTTGAACTTGTTCATGAATTGCTTGAAATCTTTAATTGCCTTAATCTCCATGGATTGTGAGTAGTCTAATTTCTAGGGTTTGGGTAAAACCCTCAATGTAGTCACTAATTACTTGTTGTATGTAATAATTGGGTGATTATTGGGTGTTAATTAGTTGAGCTTAAGTGGTTTAATTGCTTAGTTCTTGTATATGGCCATTATTAGAACTCTTTATCCAAGCTTTCTCAATGAAGGATCGAGAGATGAACTTGAGTTAGCTCCCTTATGCTTAATTGACTTGAAATGCAATGAGAATAGGAATTTCCAGTCAAGGAAAATGTTCATGTCATCGTGATTATGCTTTAATACCTGCTTTATGCTTTGTAACCACGAGAGTAGGTTGTATTCATGATTCAAGTAATCCCTCTAGCTTGAGAGAGTAGTTGGGTGCCTTAGATGACTTCCTCTAATTTATCCCCTTAATTTACCTTGATTACTGCATGCTAATCATGATTTGTGATGAATTTGAGTGGTATAACCTGAGCCCTAGGTTCCTCTAAATATTGTTAATCTCCTCTTAGTTTTAGTTGAATTGAATTAGTAGAAGTTATTCAAAACCAACCGATTTCGACTTCATTTAGCTTATTTAAACGGTAGTACTCGGTGGTTGATTCAACGCCTCTCTTGGGTTCGACCCTTTCTTACCCTTGCTATTAGTTAGTGAGACCAAGATATATAGGATTTATTATCTTTGGTAGGCTTGACGACAGCCTATCAAAATTTTGGCGCCGTTGCCGGGGAGGCAAAGTTGCATTGAATGTATTATTGTTGAATGAGACTAAATGTGTGTATGTATAATAGTTTCCTTACCTTAATTTTTGTTTATGTGTGTTTAACTTGTGATAGTCATTGATAACGTTTTTCTTAGCTTTGTTTGACTTTGTATGACACGAAAGAGTAAGCAATCACAGCTTATTCCCATTGATCCAGAGCTAAATAGGACTTTGAGAAACGTGAGGAGACTCTGGCACGGCACACCCGAGTTTTCCATTGTATATTCGGATTCCGATCCAGAAAAGGTTTTTGGAACCAACGAAGAAGATAACATGGGAGAGAATCCTCCTCAACCTATGCTACGAGACTATGACCACCCTAACGCATTCCAACTTCGGAGTGGCATACGTCTCCCCACCACAAATGAAAACAACTTCGAGCTTTCACCTCAACTCATACACATGATTCAAAGCGATCAATTCGAAGGTAGTCCTCATGAGTGTCCTTTTTCTCATTTGGACAACTTTCTTGAGTTGTGTACAACCATCAAGCAAAACAACATTTCGGAAGAGTGCATCCGTATGCACATGTTTCAATTCTCCCTCCGTGATAAAGCAAAACATTGGTTGAGAACGGTTGAAGAGGGATCATTGAGTACATGGGACGAAGTCACTATAGCCTCTCTTGGAAAGTATTGTCCTCTAAAAAAGACCGCTGAATTGAGAAGAAAGTTCACTAATTTCAATCAAGACATTAATGAAACATTGAGTGAAGCTTGGGAGCGTTTCAAAGATTACACAAGGAAATGCCCCCACCATGGTTTTACATCATGGATCAATGTACAAAGCTTCTATGATGGTCTTACTCCTATTTCAAGGGCCAACCTTGATTCCGGGGCCGGTGGTAACCTCAAAAAGCTATCGGTGGATGATGCATATAAGATGATTGAGGAAGTGGCCAAACATTATGCATATGGAGGTGATCGAAGGCAACCTCAAATAAAGAAGGGCAGAATTCATGAACTTAGTGCAATAGATCTTATTGCATCAAAGTTCGATATGCTAGCTCATAAGCTAGATCAAGCCACCCTCTCACCCTCAAGTTCTTCCTCACAAGTCATGTCTTGTGAGACTTGTTGAGGAAATGATCACTTGTCCTCTTATTGCAACTCAACAAATCAAGAGCAAGCGGTGGCAATTGGGCAAAGAAATGAGCAATACTCCCAATTTCACAATCAAAGTTGGAAACCCAAACAAAACACAGGATGGAAGCAACACAACCAAGGCCCCCACAAAATAACTACAACCAAAACCAAAACCAACCTCAAAACCACTACAACCAATCCCATTCTAAAAATCAACAAGCTCCATACTGCCACCCTAACCAAAGGGATCAAAACCATCAAAGATCACAATATAACCAACCCACTCCTCCTCCTCCACCTCATCAAACTACTAGCCTTGAATCCGTTCTTGAAACTTTCATGACACAACAAATAAGGAGCAATGCGGATATGAATGCAAACATCCAACAACTTCAAGCGCACAATAAGATAATGGAGAGCCAATTGGCTCAAATTGCACAACAAGTTGGAAGTTCATACTCCAATCCTAGTGGTCACTTTCCAAGCTCAACGGTAGTGAAACCAAAGAAGCAAGCTAAGGCTATTAAATTGAGATTGGGAAGAGGTTATGAGGGCCGGGTTATGAGTGAAGAGGAGCCACAAAAGAGAGATAAGGGAGTTGTGGTGAGAAGTGAGGATAATTTTGAAAATGAAGTAATTGAAGTTAAGAGAAAAGAGAAACAAAAGAGTGATGAGGGAGCCACAAAGAAAGATGAGGGAGATGAAGAAAGAATAGAAAAGCCCCCTATGAGAGTATATAAGCCCCCCATTCCGTTTCCTCATAGAATTGTAGAGAAAAAGTTGAATGAGAAGTTTTCAAAATTTCTTGAAGTCATGAGAGGACTTCAAGTGAACATCCCCTTTCTTCATGCTATGTCACAAATGCCTACCTACGCAAAAATTTTGAAGGATCTTCTATCCAACAAGAGTAGTCTTGAAGAGAGTGTAACCATCTCCCTTCCTAAGGAGGTGAGTGCAATCATTCAAAACGAGCTTCCCCAAAAGCTTGGTGACCCTGGTAGCTATGCAATACCGGTGAAGATTGAAGATTTGGAATCTATGGATGCTTTGTGTGATCTTGGGGCAAGTGTGAGCTTGATGCACTATTCTATTGCAAAAATTTTGAAAGTTGGGGACTTGAAACCAACAAGAATGTCCTTACAACTAGCCGACCGCACAGTTAGGCTACATTTGGGGATTCTTGAAGATGTGCCGGTTTAAGTTGGAAGAGTATTTGTGCCATGTGATTTTGTGGTAATGGAAATGGAAGAAGATACAAGAGAACCCCTCATTTTGGGGAGACCATCAACGTGGGAGTGGTGATTGATATGAAAGAAGGAAGATTGACTTTGAATGTGGGAGATGAGAAAATTTCATTTTCATTCTCACAAACTTTGAAGAAGCCATTGATTGATGAAGTTCATAGAATTGACACATTGGAGAGGGACTTAGAAGGGTTTCGAGAAAGATTGTATGAAGGAGATCCTTTACAAGCTATCCTAACGGGAAAATTAGTTGAGGAGGGTAAAGAAGCAAAGGGGTATGATCTCTTACTCAACCAACCTTTAGCCCACGATGTGATGAAATTTAAAGTGCTTAACGTGGAAGCAAAAGAGGAGAGGACTACGACTCCTCCTAAGGTTGAACTTAAACCCCTTCCCCTCTACTTGATTATCTTTTTCTTGATGATAGTGAGAGTTATCCCGTTATTGTCAATGCTAAGCTCGATGACACCTCTCTTGAGAAACTCCTAGTTGTTTTAAGGGAGTATATAGATGTCATTGGGTACAAAATTGATGACATTTTCTACTTGATGATGATCATGCTTCCTCGATTGAATACCAAAGAAGGCTCAATTCCAATATGAAGGAAGTGGTGAAAAAAGAAGTTTTAAAACTTCTTGAGGCGGGCATAATCTACACTATCTCCGATAGTAAGTGGGTTAGCTCGGTTCAAGTTGTGCCTAAAAAGGGAGGCATAACCATCATAAAAAATGATAAGGGTGAGATCATTTCTACAAAGTCGGTCATTGGGTGGAGGATGTGTGTTGATTATCAAAAATTGAATAAATCCATCCAGAAAGACCACTTCCCACTCCCCTTTATTGTTCAAATACTGGAAAGACTAGCATCACATAGTCATTATTGCTTCTTGGATGGATACTCGGAATTCTTTCAAATCCCAATCCAACCCGAGGACCAAGAAAAGACTACATTTACATGTCCTTTTGGCACCTTTTCATATCGAAGGATGCCATTTGGACTTTGTAATGCACCTTCCACATTTCAAAGGTGTATGATGTTTATCTTTTCCGACATGCTCGAATCATTAATTGAGGTATTCATGGATGAATTTTCTGTTTTTGGTTCATCTTTTGACACTTGTCTTTCAAATTTGATTAAAGTGTTAAAAAGATGTCAAGAGGTGAACTTAGTTTTGAATTGGGAGAACTGTCATTTCATGGTAGAGGAGGGCATTGTTCTTGGTCATGTGATTTCTAGTAGGGGCATTAAGGTAGATTGTGCCAAGATTGAGGTAATTGAGCGCCTCCCACCCCCTACAAATGTGAAAAGGATAAGGAGCTTTCTTGGACATGCGGGTTTTTACCGCCGGTTCATAAAGGATTTTTCAAAAATCGCAAAGCCGCTCACTCAATTGTTGGTAAAAGATGCCCCTTTTGTGTTTACTAATGATTGTTTGCTAGCATTTGATAGGTTGAAGGAGGCCTTGATTACGACTCCTATCATCCAAACCCCTAATTGGGAGCTTCCTTTCGAGCTTATGTGTGATGCTTCAGATATTTCCGTTGGGTCCGTTCTTGGATAAAGGAAGGACAAGAAGCTCCACGCTATCTATTATACTATCAAAACATTGGATGAGGCACAAAGAAATTACACAACCACGAAAAATGAGTTTCTAGCCATTGTTCATGCAATTGAGAAGTTTAGGTCCTACTTGTTAGGCTCTAAGGTAATAGTCTTCACCGACCATGCGGCCTTGAAGTACCTCTTGTCCAAGAAGGAACCTAAGCCAAGATTGATTCGGTGGGTCTTGCTTTTGCAAGATTATGATATTGAGATTAGAGACAAAAAGGGTGCCAAAAATGTTGAGGCCGATCATCTTTCACGGTTGCCTATCACTACTAGAAAACACCTTATTTACGACGGAAAATATCCGTCGGAACACCTTCTAAATCCGTTGGAAAAGGCAGTTTCCGACGGAACACGTTGTCAGAATTCACTTCGTAGGAATTTTGGCTAATACCGAGGGATTTTCCATCGGAAATTACCATGCTAACGGAATTTCCGACGGATTTTAAATTGTCGGAGCCTATGTTTGACCAAAATTGGAAGTCCGTCGCAAGGTTCCGACGGAACATATTCCGTCGGAAAGTTTCTCCGCTTCCGACGGAATATTCCGTCGGAACCGTCCAACCTTCCGACGGAATATCCCGTCGGATAAAAAGGTCCTTCCGACGGATATTTCCGTCTAATGAAGGCAACTTTCCTACGGAAAATTCTGTTGCAACCTTCCTACTGAAAATATTTCCGTCGTAAAATACTGACATAAAATTCTGTCGGAACCGTCCAACCTTCCGACGGAATATCCTGTCGGAAGTTAAGCTCTTTCCTACAGATATTTCCGTTGGAAGAAGGCAACTTTCCTACGGAAAATTCCGTCGCAACCTTCCTACGGAAATATTTTCGTCGCAAAATACCGACGGAAAATCCTATCGGAAACTTATACCCATTGCGACGGATTTTAATTCCGTAGGAACTTTGCGACGGAAATAACGATGGAACTATTTCGAGTTTGACTATTTTCCTACGGCACATTGATACCCTTTGATACCTGTACTTCCTGCTTCTTATATTAACGACAGAATAAAATTAATGGTTTTTGTGAAAAAAAATAATTATATATATATATATACTAATTCCAATCTGTACAGCCAAGTAATGTAATCAAAAATTAGTACTAATAAATACTACGTTAATTAAAGCTAAACAACTACGGGAGTGCCCTGGCCTGCTCCACCACTACCCGGGTCGTCGTCCCTGGGATTTCAAAATGGAGGTCGCACGGTGGAACAAGGGTCATTGTGGTAACGACTCATCATCCTCTCTTCCAACCTTTTCTCCATTTCTTCCATTTGGGCTCTTACTAAGGCTTGAACTCAGGCTTGCATCTCGAGTTCCATTTCTTCCCGAAGAGCATGCACCCTAGTTTTCATCTGATCCTGCATCCGAGAAACAAGGAGGGCGTGTACTGCATGGAAGATGTGGAAAGTCGACCCATCTGGCTGCCATAGTAAAGGTCAGCACTTCCGCCAAGTCCCTTCACACGTCCGTTTTTGTTCCGACCACCCACTGTCTCCCAGTACAGCTCATTCAGACTCTTCTGATCTGAGTCCTTTGAGTGCTAGCCTCCTTAATCCTCTTTCGGTAGGCCTCCTACAAGATAAACATATGAAAAGGAACAAACGAGTTGGTAAGTTATATAAATAAGCTTTGGGTACCATATTCATGAAAAAATAAACCAAGTAACATGATATAGGTGACTTCTACTTAGCCCAATTACTTCATTTCTTAGGAAATGAGCTCTTTTATTCTCATTTTATATCAATTAAACATAGTTTTAGGTCTAAAGTGCTTGAAATGACAAAAAAAAAAACAAAGTAACAAAGTTTTACGTACAATATTCATGAAAAACGCACCAAGTATGGCCTAAGTGACTTCTATGTTGCCCATCTTCTCTATTTCTTAGCTAATGTTCTCATTTATGATCCAAACATGTCAAATGTACATAGTTTTAGATTTCTAGGGCTTGAAATGCCAAAAAAATACAACACATTAAGTTTTGGGAGCCATATTGATGAAAAACAGACCAAGTATGGCCTAAGTGACTTCTATGTTGCCCATTTTCTCTATTTCTTAGCTAATGTTCTCATTTCTGATCCAAACATGTCAAATGTACATAGTTTTAGGTTTCTAAGGCTTGAAATTCCAAAAAAAAAACAACACAATAAGTTTTGGGAGCCATATTGATGAAAAACACACCAAGTATGGCCTAAGTGACTTCTATGTTGCCCATTTTCTCTATTTCTTAGCTAATCTTCTCATTTCTCATCCAATCATGTCAAATGTACATAGTTTTAGGAGTCTAGGGCTTGAAATTCCAAGAAAAAACACACAATAAGTTTTTAGAGCCTTAATGATGAAAAACGCACCAAGTATGGCCTAAGTGACGTCTATGTTGCCCATTCTAAATATTTCTTAGCTAATTGATATGACTGTCGCGTGTCTACCAAAAATAAACCTAACTAAAACCTCCTAAAATGTAGTAGGGTAAGCTAGGGTCGATCCCACAGAGAATTAAATTATCAAATTATTACTTGTGTATGTTAAAAACCCCTGTTTTGAACAATGACTATTACGATCTAATATAAAAAACTACGGACTTGAAAATAAGCTAAGTATGGAGATGTAAAATTAACAGTACAAATAAATATTAAAAATCAAGAATGACGAAATAGGGATCGGGAGATACAATATAGCATTGGAAAATCGATTGATCATCGAATTATGTGAATCATGTTTTTATCTCAATGTTAGTCGATGAACACAAACAAACATTCAATACTTCCCTTAATTGCAAATAAACCAAACAAGCTCTTGGAGTATTATCCAACTAACTAACAATCTAGAACAAGCTCTCTAGACTCGATTATCAGCAGCATTAATAACTAGGAAGTAGCTAACTTAAGCCACAAATCTCACAGGCTCGAATTCGTGAAACTTAAAGGGTTGGTAATCATAGGCATCAGATAAGCTACAGTCACCCATTAAACACCTAAGTGCTACTAAGGAATATTAATCTGGACAATTACGTATCACAAATCAATATTATAACAATTAAACTAGCAAACTATACTCAAGATGGCCGGTCTTAAATATAACTCAACTAATTTATACCAATACAACAGATTATCACTCTAATCAATATATAAACATAATAAACTCAAACCATAACATTCTTAATCTCACAATACAATAATCCAATGTATACTATATCTCCGTACCCGTATTAAATCTAGTCTGACATACTCAAAACTGAAATAATAACAACATTAATAAAATATATCATACTACTGTGGAAGAAATACACTACCGAAATGAAGTAATCTATAAAAGAAAATACTAACAAAATTTCTAATTATA